GCATAACATTCGTGCTTATCGTTCTGTAAATATCATAAATTTGCATAAGAATGTACAACTGCAAAAAATATATGTATGAACTTTCAAGACATTTTTATCTCATAACCTTTTTTTTTTGTTAGACTAAAACTTTTCAAATTTACTGAAACTATTCCTTTGCGTATTAAAAAATTAATTATACTCGCGAGAATGAAACCAATTAATTGTCATTATCATCGATAACGATAGGGATGTAATTATGCAAACGCGAATAAAATTGTAGATCATCCGGCAAACAAAGAATATCATGAGAAATCTGCGAACAATTTCTTTGTTGTAACTTTCTCATTATAGTGGTTGATGCTCAATTACGATTGAATGCCATTTTTCAAATTGTGATTACTTCTACACTCCACTCACTATTATGTGCTATTTCTCTATTCAGAAATAATCGCACGTGTATACGAAATTATCCGACGTTTTAATCATTGTAATTGCTTGATGAATGGCTTCATAAAGTCGTACAGACTATCATATTTTATTTTTAGCATTTTTCTCATACATAAAGGAGTCATTTTTTGTAGTTGAAAATTATTATAAAGATTTGAGAATTTTTTCAGAATTAATACCGTATTTTCTCATGTGTTGGTAAAAATAAGAAAATGCAGTATTAAAGTTGATAAAAAATTCTGAAAAAATTCTTAGAGTTCATAACAAGAAAATAAACAATTTTTGTTTCTTGCAGTTTTTCTATAAAGTTGATAATATTTGAGTAAAAAATTATTGAAGACTAATATTCAACAATTTTTAGTAATTAATATTTTGTTAACTATTGTGAAAATTGCAAAATGATAGAGAACTTTTCTACTCAGTTTAGTCCATTCTGCTGCTATGCAAGAGTTTTATCGTTAATTATCAGATGTCCTGTATATATAGCATCGGCTTTGCAAGTTTTCATATAGATTATTCAAATTTTATTTATCAATATATATCTAATAAAATATAGAACAGTATATATAAGACGTGGATTCTTTAAAGCTTTTAAACTAATTAATTTCAAGGTTTGCTTAAGAACTTGTGCATTTTAGTGTGAAGGGAAGAAACGCACACATGGAAGAAGCTTTCCAACAAACCACCATATTGTTCGATGGAACTTATGTTAAACGCGATAAAATTATTTTTTTTGTTACATTTAAATACGTTGGCAAATTTTTACTCTTTAATGTGTAATGATGCGTGTTAATTTACAGTTAAGCAAATACAGAAAAAGTTTTATATATTATACGTGCAATATCATCATGAGAAATGTAGTGTTTTGGGACTTAATGGATCACCGATTTTAATCTCACATAAACTTTTTATAATAAAGAAAATATTAAATTAAATCAATATAATATTCGAATCAAAGGTAGTTGAAATAAAAGCTTTTTGACAGCTTCAAATATGTAAATAGATGACAAAAATTTTATTATTCTTATTATAACAAGTTACTGGATTTTATTTTCACAGATTCGAAATGTAATGTAATTCGAAAATTAATTGCAGAGATATCGGCGTCGGAAATCAAAAGTTTTTTTTTACAACAAATGAGAATTCTCCTCAACTTCTTCTGTAAGAAAAACTTAGTTTCAATTTGATCGAAGAGCGAATGAATGACAGATGATTCGCTAAGTTTGGGATGTCTTTGGATAGCTTCTAATCCATATGTTGAAGCTTACCGGTGGTGGTTCGGTGGTAGAATAGACCTCACTTGGCGCATAGTGACTCTGCGGCATCTTCTCCGAGACGACGGCAACAGTTGCCAGGGAATCCGGCTGATCTTTCTCCATTGTCTTCCCGATTCGGCTTAATCCGCGTAGCACAAAATACACGGTCAAACGACCCGGGACGTCAGTATCTTCCTTTTCCTAATCCGGCCGACGGATGGACGATTATTAAAAAACTCCCTTTCTCTCTTTTCCTTTCTTGCTCCGGTACCACACTCGGTGTCTCGGTGGCTCGACTGGTCGACGAGCAGTGAGCGTCGAGGAAGCACCGGCACCGCTAGCTTAGAGATGCCCCCACCTAAGCCGGCGTGCACTACCTTCGGCAAACGTTACCTTCTGGTACCAAGGCGTACCCTCCGCACCGTCGACGGTGGTGTTCTCGTTGCTCGAACTTTCTAAACACCGTGTGTGCGCGAGAAACACGCGTGAGTGAACGTGAGCACTGAGCGGTTCGCCGCTATAATGTACGAACGAATGTCCATCGCTTTGCTTCCCACATGTTTACCGCACGATGCTCGACAGCAATTTTCACGACAGTTTTTCGTCGCGTTCTTCTTCGATTTGAAATAAAAATTGCGGAACGACTAATGATAATGGAGCCGAGAAACATTTTTATACTAGCATGCGCAGCTAACTTTTTATTTAAATTTTGCATTTTTTTTTTCGAATATATTATTTAATGTTAATATCCGATTTCATAACGCTGTATAAATTTTTAAAACCAATTGAGTACGTTTGATTGCAACGATCTTTCGCACGCAAAAAATCTTGCGGGGAGCTTTTTCCATGATGAGCTTTGGAACAATTGCAGAGTGTAGAAGCGACGTTATCGGTTTCTCGGCAATTCGTGGTGTGCAGGAAGAGGTTCATATTACAACGATAGTATACGGCGGACCGTGCGTCTATGTGGCGGGAGAAACGACACCGAGAAAGCACCGAAACTCCTTCGTTCACGACGATAACAATGCTTAATTGTCGTGAGAGCATCGTTAGTAGTGTTAGTACGAAATAATAAACATTTATATCCCCCGTAAAAAGATGTATGTACTATAGACTCTATAGAGTATTCGTAATAATTGCTTGCTACATATAGAGCTGCCTAAAATTCGCGTTCGTGATAGATTTGTCAACTAAATTGCAGTAGATATTTTTAAAGAAGCAGATACATAAATATTTAATTAATAGCAAAACATTATGAAGTTGTAAATATTTTCAAACACGGTGCAATAAATCTACAATATCATTAAGGGATGACGTTTAGATGTTCCCATATGTTTTTTGATTGCAGGAACAAATCGATTTTCATGGATAAATTTTCCTCGATTTAACTCGCAAGCAAGTGTTACTGAACAAAAGACGTACTTTTGTAAGTAGATTAGTAAATATATGTACGTACACGAGTAGTGTGACGAACGGATCGCGGAGAAAGTAGGAAATGTACTCCTCTGACAGTAAACGTGAGGCCGCGTAGCAAATCGTCGTCTGCTTGCATATGGTAACTTGCGAGAAATAACGAGGAATAGAACGTCTACATATCACGTTTCTGTTAATTATCTCTCTTTAGAGATATAAAGAGATCTCTAAAGAGTGTGATTGTTAAAGGATCGAAGGAGATCCGAAGATTAAGAATTTAAATCCACTCTAATCTTACGATGATCTTTCTTCGCCAAATCTTCTTCGATCCGATTTCAGCAACGCGTGTTCGTAATTTCAGGACTCGCACAGGAACGCTTCGAAACCCACGCTCTACTCGGTTAATTATCCGTTAGAGAGAATGTCTAATTAAAGGTATATAAAAAAAAAGACGGATTTAATTATAAACTCACCGCACATTCTCGCGATTCTGCGCACGCAATGTATCACACTAATCGTAGGATGGCATTTTGGCCGGATCAACGTGGATTGAAAAATTATCTTTTGATTTGTATGCTATTAGAAAAAAGAAAATTTGCTTTGTAACAATTCGCTGTTCAAATAAACTTTCATTTCCTATATGGGAAAAATCTGTTTCAATAGTTCAAACATTTCGATTCGCCATATCGGATACACTTTCATTTCGTCGTCTCCTTTAGTCGCCCACAATGACTCCAAATGAATGTCTCCTCGATATTTCTTGTACTCAGCTATCATCATAACGGAGAATAGGCGTTTCCATATAGTGATCGTCTTCTTACTGATAAAACGAAAGATAATACAGCAAGAAGACACATCTCGGACTATTTCTCCCTCAGGAGAGGCGACGCTGAAAAATATGTTTTCTCCGTACGCGGGTGGGGAGTCGCATGTTAGTATATAAAACGCATAATCATGCTCGCTTAGAATCTTTTGATCCTCTATGTATAATGTATCGTAAATAGATGGCCGCGTCACCATTTACGGATACTCGCTTTCTCCAGCAGTAATGTAGATGCCACTCCATTTCTGTTGCGCTTCCCGTGTTTAAAGATTTTCGCAATAAATCACTCAAAATATATTTTCTGAAACCAATCGTCAAAATTACAAGTTGTAGCTGTTTGAATAAATTAATTCTCCATATCACGTTAAAATTTAATTTGAAAAAAAATTGTCAAAAAAGTTCAAATTTTTCGTGTCATTTTACAAACGGCAAAAAATTATATGCAAAACAAATAATTTACTTTTTTGTAAAATTAAATTAAAAAGAGTATATATTCTAAGTATGTTAATTAAATGCGTAAATTAATCAAATGTATAAATTAGCATAAGTTGAAATGTATATGTATACTATATGTGTGAATATAATTATTAAATATATTATTTTGGAAGAATTAATGAAATATCGACATCAAGATATGATGTACTGGTTAGTGCTACGTTCCTGGATAGAGAAAACTGCTATCTGTTTCTCACGCAATATCTAGACGATGGATGATCTATATACATCGTAACGACTATGCGTGATGTTTATCCATAAATCTTAATCTTCAATCAAATTATAGAACGAAGCTCTGTAACGTAAAGATTTTACAGATTATGTACAGATTTTAATATTTTGAGAGAAAATACTCGTAAATTGCAAACACGTTTGCAATGAATATTATTTAAATTGTATTTTATTTAATAAGATTAATTAATTACAGTTCTAATCAAAATAACGATATTATTTCTAAAACATTCTGTTATAGATTTGAAGATATTTTAATATAATATCGTATTTATATTATTTATAAATATATAACTGTTATATATTTAAAAATATAACTTACAAATATATAACAGATTCAAAATAAAAATAACTATTTTTTTTTAAGATGTATTTATCGTTTCATAAATCATGACTTTATTATAGCCGCACAATGCAACTTTTTCTCCCGAAGGGTGCCAATATGCGTCTATAATCGACATATTTTTAGACAATGGTACAGAACTTGCGCCTTTTCGAGTCCATTCGTACACGCGCGTACATTCGGAGATCACAAATAGTCGAGGATGAACGGGACTCCATTTGATAGCTGAAGATAATAAAATAACTGCATTATCATTTCTAATGAGAATTGAACAATTTTTAACGATGTACCTGTAATGGGATTTTCAAGTAGCAAATAATCCAGATAATCCGTACAGATGTCCCATATCCACAATGTGGTAGGATAAAGCTCATGTTTCAGAGCCAGGTATTGTCCACATGTGCTAAATTCAAACAGTTTAACTTTCGCTATCGAGAAATTGTCATTATCGTCTTTCTTTCCGATTTCAATGCATATAGGCCGTTCATGTATTTCACGTACTAAAATTACAAGAAAATCAAGTATTTAAGATATTTGTATCCAGAATATAATTAAAAAATTTTTTTGTAATATATGATTTGAATGTGCTAAACTTCAACTCGCCAAGATCATTTACTTACAAACACGTTCCTCGCAGGATGCAAAACGTTTATCAGAAACTTTTTCCGAATCGGCGTATTCTTTGTATACTTTTGTTAGGTAATTACATTCTCTGATTACTGGATCCATGTATAATTTCGACAACGGTTGCCACGTGATGTGATTAAGAAGAACAATCTGAACATAAATTTTAAATAATCGTAAATTTACTGGCAACAAAAGTAACATGGTATATAATACATCGTGATTAAATTATACCACTTCATTAAATCCTATTACAGCCAACAACTGTCCACTTGGGATCCATTCTATATTTTCAATTCCTTTCAGCTCTTTCCCATAATTACACGTTTCAGATGGCTGTGCCGTTTTCAGCGGGGAAAATGCTGTCACGTGTTTCTCTAATATGTTAGAATAAATAATCAACTTTGGTTCGGCAGGAGAGGAACACCATATGCATAATAATTCATCGTTTGGCGACCAGCGAATCCCGTTGATGCCACGCAAACGATCGCAGATAAGTTTCTGAAATAGTTCATTTATTATTTCGCGCCAGTTTAAAATCTAGGGAATTTTGTGACTGCTAAACTGGAGTTTTCAATGCTGACTCCATTCTTTTACCGACGGTGGCAAAGTCTATTTTCGAACAATCGCTAATTGTTGAAAATCCTTTATAACTGTGCCAAGTTATATTTTTCGCGCTGAAGAATGCGAGAGATATACAAAAGACGTGGAGAGAAGAATGTTCAACTACGTGCCGTAAACTGTCATTAAACACACGATGCATCATTTATACATCCTTGTCGTTCACAGAATGTTAAACAAGGATGAAATGATAGTTCTATCCTTGTTGTGCACACATGTAAAAAAAATGGCTGCCATCATCTGACCGCGTGAACGTTTGAAAGGTCCTCGCAACGATCCACGTTTATCCGCGACCTCCACGACATGACGTGTTACACTGCTTGTTCGTGCAACCGTGTTCCTCACTGCGCCGATTGGGGCATCAATGGGTTACTTTGTTTCGGAACCCGAAATGCAATCGCTATATACGAGCCACGTGCGAACATCGGTCATGTAACTCATACACTGCACCGGCATCGTGACTATGTCAACACGGTACACTGGATAAAGCCGGGAAACGGTGCACCGGAATCGGAATTGTTGTCCGGTTCTGTGGATGGTACAGTGATTATTTGGAGTAAAGATCGAAGTACGTTTCAATGTACCTCGGTGTTGAATGTAGAAGGCACAGTTGCCTTCGCAGATTCTCTCCAAATGGCAGATAATATTCCATCTACCACGTTGGCGAAGCTGTTAATATGCACAGGTTCAGTCTGCGGCAATGTCAAACTATGGTTGAGAGAGGAAAATGCGGATGTTAAGCAGATTCAGTCTATAATTTTTGGAAGAAAGTTACCAATATATTGTCGTCTGACGTATTTACCAAACAAATGTCCCCTCTTGGCTGTAGCATTAGAGGATGCTTCTATCTTGCTGTATGCAAAATTTGATGTAGAATCTGGCTTAGAACAATCTTTTGTAAATATCCAGCGTTTAGTCGGGCATGAAGATTGGGTAATGTGTATGGATTTTATTCAGAACAGTGACGGAAATCTTTTTCTTGCAACAGGCTCAAAAGATAACATGATACGATTATGGAAAATTAGCGAAAAAATTAGCGTCGAAGAATCTTCAAGCGATGAACTCAGACAAGAAAGTAATACTTTTGTGATAAACGATAGGCAGTATGATATTACTCTGGAATCAGTGCTCTGTGGTCACGAAAGCTGGATTTATGGTCTGCACTGGCAGCCTATGAAAACAGATAGCCAAACAATGAAACTGCTATCCTCTTCAATGGATAAAACTATGATAATATGGGAGCCAACTGAGATTATGGATGGAATGTGGACAGAGACGGTACGTGTTGGCGAAGTTGGTGGCAATTCTTTAGGTTTCTATGGTTGTAAATTTGGCCCAGATGGACTATATATATTGGCACACGGTTACCAAGGTACTTTTCATATCTGGAAATATTCTCAAGAAATAAACAAGTGGCTTCCACACCCTGCACCTGGCGGACATTTTGCTGAAGTAGTCGATTTATGTTGGGAACCGAAAGGGAGGTCCGTATAAATCTTGGATGTGGAATAAAAGTTTTATATGTGATTTTAATTCTTTAATATTCAGTAATTTATAGATAACAACATAGATGCAACATCTAGAAATTTTGAACTTTACATCATGTTATATATTTTTGAATAAATCTGCTTCATTTTTTAAATTTTAAATTGAATTTTTGTGTTTTTTCTGTGTGTGTATTTAATACTTGGAAAAAATATTTCTGAAATTTTTAAACTTACATTTAGAAAAAATTTAGATTTGTGATATTAGATACTAGTATTTTAGATGAGAATAGATAAAGTTTAAAACCATAAAGGAATAAATACATATATATTATGATACTGTTTACAGATTTCTCATCACAGCCAGTGTTGACCAAACTACAAGAATTCATGCACCATGGAAAGATGATGATCTTGAAGAATTATGGCACGAGATTGCACGTCCTCAGATACATGGATACAACATGACTTGTTTAACTATGTTATCACCGCATATATATGTTTCTGGAGCGGATGAGAAAGTGGTGCGCATTTTCATGGCCACGTCTACGTTTAGGGATAAATTAAAATTGCTGGCGAATATCGATGATTTTAAATTTGTAAAGGCCCACAGTGCTGCTGTACCATCTCTGGGATTAACAAATAAAGCCACGTACGGTGGGCACAAAGATGAAAACACAAAAAATTCAACGATGGAGAATTCATATGAACCACCTACAGAAGAAGAATTAATGCAAAATACACTTTGGCCAGAAACGAATAAGCTTTATGGACATGGCTATGAAATATTCTGTATGGCAGCGAAACACGACGGACAATTGCTAGCTACAGCATGCAAATCAACTACTCAAGAACACTCAGCAATCTTATTATGGGATACCAACACTTGGTCACAAGTTCAACAATTAAGCTATCATCAGTTGACTGTGACGCAAATGGAATTCTCTCCAGATGACAAATATTTATTGTCTGTATCCAGAGACAGAAGATGGTCATTATTTAAAGCTATCAATACAAGTTACGAGTTAATCGCAGCTAGTTCAAAGAAAGACAATCCTCATTCACGAATAATTTGGTGCTGTGCTTGGACACAAGACTCGAATTATTTCGCGACTGGATCCAGAGACGGAAAAATCGCTATATGGTCCACAAAAACGATAGAAAATAATATTGTACCAAAGATAATTTTGGATATGAAAAATCGATCAGTTACAGCGTTATGCTTTGCGCCACGTTATGTCACACGAGATTTTTATCTTCTGGCTATCGGATATGAGGCAGGACACATAGAGATTCAAAGAATCAATATAGAGTTAGATAGCGTATGGTCTAAACTATTGGAGTACGATACTTTCCAAGCTCATCATTTAACTGTAAAAAGACTCATGTTTCGACCTACTAATCACTCATATAACAACTTGCAATTAGCAAGTTGTAGTAACGACCATTCTGTTAAGATACATAATATAGAACTATCATCGTTATTATCATAATTTTTACAAGAATTTTAGATTTTTACTTCAATTGCGTTATTTTTATAAAACTATGAAAATAATCTTGTATAAAATACTTGTGTGAAATATAGATTCTAAGTAATCTATAAAAAAAAGATTCATGTTGTTCAATTTATGTATTGTTTCAGTTGGCTGTACTTACTCGACTTATTTTCCAGTTTTGAGTTTTATAAATTTCTACTGTATCTTGATCTACTTCTGTAACTATCACTGCTAATCTCTCACCATTGGGACTAAAACGTAATTTGTCAAAGGAAGATGATTTTACATTTTGTATGTACGATACCGTCTGCTCTTCCAAGTTCCAAATAGATAGTTGAATCTGTAAATATCTTTTGTTTTACATTAGCGCATAGATCAGCTGTCTTTTCTTATGATATATTGCACTTACATTAAAATCTGCTATGGTAAAAATATGTTTACTATCTGGGGACCAGGTAACACCTTGCAAACCTGCACTGCCCTCGGTAAGTTTACATTTCCATTGAGGATGATGTATTGAATATATCTGAACGATAGCTCTTTTTATATTTGCACAAAGAATATATTCGCTATTTGAAGACCACTCCATATACTGTAAAGTAACAAAGATAAAAGCATAGATATTAATATATACGATCAAAAATAATGCCGAAGATTTAATCTAACCATTTTTCCTATCGATACAAGACTAACCTGTATCACATCCACGAATACAAACGACCGATAGGTATCGAGAGTCTTTGCATCTTTTATCAGCAGATTCGTTTGAAATGCTATCGCTAGATACGCTCCATTTCTTGAAAAGTGGCATAAACTATTGTTTACGCGAAAAACTTTGTCCTCCTTAACGTTAGTGGCCATTAGGAAGGATTTGAAATCATTTGAAATCTGCGGTTTCCTTGACAACTCGGTCAGTGTCGCCAATCATAATGTTTGCGTTCTAAAAGTTACAATTTGTTGAATTATAAATATTTATTAAATATCTGTCTTTATGACTTCTGCAACTGTTTTAGAGATCGAAACATCCAAACAAGAATCGACAAGAATGTGAGTCAATCTAGGTTAAGTTAAGCTTTTGCGCTAATGATCAATTTTGTCCAAAGTTTTTGCCTGTGATTAGCTGCACTTTTTTTTTACTGCGAATGCCATGTCGCCCAATATGGGGAAGACTTTCAAGTGTGTTCTTTGTAACATTACGTTAATCGTTTATATTAAAAATAAAAGGAGTATATAATTGTCGTCAACGAAGAAAAGGGGAAAGACAAGCTTAGAAAATCATTTAGATACACGCGTTCGTGTATCTAAATGATGAAAAAGATTTGTTACTAATTGTAAGTGAAAATTTTTATAGACGCGCGCAGAAATGCCTATATAATGAACACACTCGCTTCATCCATGGTCGGCAGCTGTCAACAGTGGTTGTGTTCCAAAATTTACTGCCAGCGCTGAAAATCTACAGTCCATGTAACGTGTACTATACATTTTCAGCCCTGACAGTGAATTTTGGAACACAGCCCGTGTCAACTCTGTCAAACCGAGTAGCGGTCCTGGCGGACGTGAAACGGAGCGACTGTCACTGAGAGCAACTGAGAGCGTCGGAATGAGATGGTGCACGTTGCGTGCGGTGTGCAAAGTAGTGGTCAATCCAAAATAAGATTCCGAACGTCCGTCGCGGCGGCGGTTACGTCGGTGACATCGGTGACGTCGGTGACGGTCTGCAGTATTCTGATCTCGGAACCTCGGAAAAGGGTGTGATGCCGCGATAACGCGGGCGAGCTTCGCTTGCGCAATGATGTGTTCTCGCGCTCTTCGCGCTCGGCCGCAATCGCACGTTCTACGCGGAGTCCGCTGAGGTAGAACGTAGAACCGGTAGAACCAAACGGCCGCTTCGTCGGAGCCCCGGGGTGCAGTGCTGCGATGCCGCTGCGTTTCAGCGGACCGAGGGTTAACGCGTTGTCGACGAGGCCCGCGATCGGTGGGCACGCAATCTTACGCACGCCGTCGATTCGGTGAATAGATATGGGCAAGCAAAACGGCTCGTGCTGGTGGTGCCTCAAGGCCGTCAAGTGGTTGCCAGTGATCTTTATCTTAACGATCGTTGCCTGGTCCTATTATGCCTACGTAGTGCAATTGTGCTACTGTGAGTACCCGGACTACGATGTTCTCGTAGCCTTCCGTTTTGTCTCGCCACCGGTTTCGCTTCGAGTTGCCAGTGTCCTTGCCAACTTCGTCACGCCGCCTCGTCTCGTCATATCGTTAAAAACGCGCGCTTTCGGGATATTATCTTTTTTTTTTTTTAATTACGTTTCTTCGTATATTTTGCTTTCCGTCAGTTCTAAACAATTTGAGTTTTCTTTATTTTCTGGCATATAGATCTTAATCTCTCTTGTTAACGTTAAATCTTAATCTTAACAGCGTTAACCTTTTTATGACATTTTTTATGTAATCTGTACGATATGCAAAAAATTTCCATTTGATGTTTATGTATATATGTAATGAATATAAACTTGAAAAGAGAACTGTTTCACAAGTAGAAGTGTTATTTTGCAATCATGCTATAGATATGTACAATATATGTACACACACACACACGTATATATGTTTATAGTTAAACTGCATAGTTGCAAAATAAAAATATACTCTTGAAAGCTTTATACTAACATTGTAATGTATTTGTTTCAGATACGATAGACAATTATGTTCAGAAAGGTTTGTATCATATATTACTTTATATATGATTAACTTTGTTTTCTTTTGCAATGTAACACTTTTTTGTTTGTTTTATTATTTCTATAATTATAACTCTTAATGTCATTTTATATATATATATATATAACACTAGTATGTTTACAGTTTTCTATCTGCTTTTCTTCCACATCCTGATTCTGATGTTTTTGTGGTCGTATTGGCAAACAATGTACACAAATTTAATACCCGTGCCAGATAAGGTAAATTGTCTGTTACAAATAAAAATAATTATTTGTCATTACGATACAATATAAATAATACTAATCTATACACATTTTCTTAACCCTTCTAGTTTAAAATACCTGATGTTGAAATGGAGAAATTGCAACAGGCTGAAACTGAAGAAACGCAGAGACAAATTTTGGAAAGATTTGCACAAGATCTTCCAGTTACTAATCGCACCATAAAAGGAGGTAATGTTTAAATTATAAATGATATAAAAAATTGTTGAATTTCATGTATATGTTGATAATATTCTTTCTTTAGCTATGCGATTCTGCGAAAAGTGTCAGTTAATAAAGCCTGATAGGGCACATCACTGTAGCGTGTGTGGCACTTGTGTATTAAAAATGGATCATCATTGTCCATGGGTGAACAATTGCGTAGGCTTCCACAATTATAAATTTTTTATACTGTTTCTGGCATACGGACTTCTCTATTGTTTGTTTCTTACCGCTACATCTTTGCAATACTTTATACAATTTTGGCAAGTGAGTAGATTTTTTCTTTTATAATAAATTAATACTAATAAGGTTTATTCAGATTATACAGAGTGAGTCATTTTAATCGAACCAGGCAAATAT